GGATATTCACACACCACCCTGCCTCCTCCAACACTTCCCCCACAAGGCGGCCCACTTGGGGCCAAGCAGTCAGCTGCCATTAAATGGAAGCTTTTAGCACCAGTTCCAGCTGGAGGGTGAGTCAGCTCCCTGCCGCCAAAGTAGCCTCCCTGTTGGTCTCAGAAGCCGGAACCAGCAAGGGTGTTTCAAAAGGCAGAGGGCAATCCTGGGCCCACACCCTGAACTGCCTAGGATTAGGTGAGTGGCAGGCACCACTCCAGGGCACTAGCCAGATCTCAACTCTTAGCCAGGGGAGTGTGAGTGACCCTGCAGTCCCAGGCCATCTTCCCATACCCCACCTTTTCTTCAGTCATTAGAAGAGTCAAGTTCTAAAATACATTCTGGAGAGGATGAGGGGAGAGAACAGAGTGCTAGCAGCTGAGTGGCTTCCCCTACCCCTCTTACAAGAGGACAAACAGAGTATACTTGCCTCTCACACATATTTACACAGTCTTTTTTCTAGATAACAGTTGAGTTTAAGTTTGGTTCCTTTTTTTTTTTTTTTTTTTTTGTAAGTGTGTTATTCAATTTTGAAAACTGTTAGTCTTAGCCAGATCCTAAGAGGCAAGCAATTAGAGTAATGGAACAAAATAACAGATGGCTACTTTGGGGCCTCCATTATCAGCCTTTAAAAAGAAAAAAATATCTACTTTAAGAAAATATCTACTTTAAGGCCAGGCGCAGTGGCTCAAGACTAAGCCCAGCACTTTGGGAGGCCGAGATGGGCGCATCACGAGGTCAGGAGATCGAGACCATCCTGGCTAACACGGTGAAACCCCATCTCTACTAAAAAATACAAAAAACTAGCCAGACAAGGTGGCGGGCGCCTGTAGTCCCAGCTACTCGGGAGGCTGAGGCAGGAGAATGGTGTAAACCCGGGAGGCGGAGCTTGCAGTGAGCTGAGATCTGGCCACTGCACTCCAGCCTGGGCGACAGAGCGAGACTCCGTCTCAAAAAAAAAAAAAAAAAAAAAGAAAAAGAAAAAGAAAAATAAGACAGAGCGCAGTGGCTCACACCTGTAATCCCAGCACTCTGGGAGGCCGAGGCAGGCGGATCACTTGAGGTCAGGAGTTAGAGACCAGCCTGGCCAACATGGTGAAACTCTGTCTCTACTAAAAATACAAAAATTAGCCAGGCATGGTGGCACACGCCTATAGTCCCAGCTACTTGGGAGGCTGAGGCAGGAAAATTGCTTGAACCTGGAAGGCAGAGGTTGCAGTGAGCCAAGATCACACACCACTGCACTCCAGCCTGAGCAACAGAGTGAGGCTCTGTCTCAAAAAAAAAAAAAAACCTTTCAAATAATTAACTCATACCTAATACAGTCCTCTGAGCAACAAGAGCAAAACTCAGTCTCCAAAAGAAAAAAAAAAAAAGCCAAAGGTCAAGGTTGAAACACTGAGGCCCCTGAAATAGTGATGTTTCAATGAACACGGAAACTCAGCAAGTGAGGCATTTCTTCTTGCTGTAATGAGATTTGGCATAACCTTCAAGAGATCTTACCCTTCCAGGACAACAGAGGGTGATGAGGGTTACCCAGGCCACTTTTAGAAACTGGGAGAGGGAACTGTGGCCCAGAACTGTAATTGCTCAAGAATTTGCTCAAAGACCAGAACAACGCTTCTTCACCCTGCCAGGAGCACGTTCATGGCCCTCTTGTGTAAAAACTGTTGCATGACCTACTTATGGGTTACGGGGTCCCTAGAAGTCAGAGCAAAGGGCTTCCAAGCAGAAATGAGACACACGTCCCCTCTGATTTGGGCCAACTCTTGCTTAATTCCTAGAAGAATTCCATTCTACCCACTTTGAGGGCCTACAGCTGTTCTGGATACATTTTTTTTGAAGTATGCATGTACAGAACTCCCAGGACTGTCACTCCTCCTGTGCCCAGTGGTTCAGCCTTGGAGAGGCAAGAAGGGCAATCTGTCATTCACTAAAGCAACACTGCAATGTAGAAAAAACCCAGCCAGTCCAGGTGCGGTGGCTCATGCCTGCAATCCCAGCTACTTGGGAGACTTAGGCAGGAGAATCGCTTGAACCCGGGAGGCAGAGGTTGCGGTGAGCCAAGATCATGCCTGGGCAACAAGAGCAAACCTCCGTCTCCAAAAAAAAAAAAAAACACCCAGCCAGCCTGGGAGCACGGGATGTTTCTTAGTAGGAAGGTAGAGAGCCACACAGATTGGGGTACTCCTTTCCATTACTCCTTGCCCCATTTCAGAAAGGATCCCTACCCCATAACAGGAAAGGGCACAGAGGTAAAGCAGTAGTTTCCCCCACAGAGCTGCTAAGGGTAAATATTTGCTGGAGGAGGTGTAAAGCAGGAGTTACTAGAATCGGGCCCTGGTTGAGACACAAAAGCAGATGGTATTAGGGGACGCTGTGAGCCACCCTCTTCCCTCAACCCTGCCCGGCCCCGGAGGAAGGAAGCTGGGAGGTAAGAGAATGACACATGGCAGCAAGGCTTGGAGGTTCCGGGGAGTCCTGGTTTCCGTCCAGGGCCTGAATGGTGCCCCAGCCTCACCCTGTGAGCAAGGGACACTATAACTACGAACAAAGCCCACACCCTAACTCTTGGGAGGGAGTGGAACCGGCTGGCAAAAGGAGTCACTTGGGGAGTGGCAGAAGACAGGGAGAGAAAAGGAAGGTCTCCCACCCCTATCACCTGAGAAAAAAGGGTGAGGGGTTCATTTTCTCCAGCACCTTCAGCTGCAGAAGACAAAGCCTAGACGTTCTCAAAACCACCACTGTAGACCCTGCTCCCTCCCAACTTTCCAGGTCTCTTGGCAACTCTTAACCTTTTCCAACCTGGCACTGCCTCGGGCAATAAATTATTGTTGAGACTCCAGAACAGATCTCGCCTTCCCCTCAAAAAGTGAATTTATGCCAACTATCACAACATGTCCACTCTGTGGTAGGTGGGGCCACGGATAAGGACACCACTCCCACCAAGCCACTGACACCCCCCCTCAGTTACTACGGATGAGGAAATTCAAGCAACGATGGTAATGGATCCAAGGTTATGCCTGGCCCCACCTCAGGCTGCCTTGGAACAGTTGCTCTTTCCACCCTTCCGACCCTTTCCCCTCCAGCCTCGGCTAGGCTGCCTGTGCCGAGCTCCTGGCCACCAATTCACGCCCTCGAGAAGCTTCCAGTCACTCGCCACTCTGCCAGCTCACCACTCAAAGCCCTGTAGTCTGTTCCTGAAAATCCACCAAACCCACTCTCCCAAACCTTCAGAGCCCTGTCCAAAGTCCCACCTCTACACACATCCCTCTTTATTAACAGAATCACCACAGGGACCCCTCGGACCCCTTCGCATTTTGCAGATAACAAAACTGCATGGAGAGTTCAAGGGTCTTGTCCAAGGCCACAGAGCTAATCAGTAACAAATCTGGAAAGAAAATCCAGATCTCCAGATCCCACGAAATGCTTCCAACTTCAAGTACCTCCCACCCATTTCACACACAAAACTTCTGAATAACCCCTTCCCCACACACACCCACTCACCACGCTCCTTCCTTTAGCTCTTTCTGCACACTCAGAGCTCCCCCCCTTCAACCACACTGGATTACCCCCCCACACACACACAGACACTGACACCTCACTCGGGGATCCCATTCCACTTCTGATCACCTTTTCACTGCTCTGGGGCCCTCCCGAGTTGCTCTCCCCCCACCCCAAAAACAGCGCCACCTGGAAACAGTCTCTGCTTCAGGATCCCTTCACCTGCCTGCGCTCTCTTCCGAAAAAGACACAATTCTTCCTGGACTCTCTCACCACTTCCTCCCCAAACTCCTTATTCTCCCTGCACGACACACACGCTCTCCAGTCCCGGGACTGCACCTCCAGGAGCCAGCGCCCCTTCCCCACATTCCTTTCTCAGTCTATCCATTAGGCATTCCCTTTCTAATGAGACTTTCATTTTCCTAAACGAACCTCCCTCCCATTATCCACCATTCCAGCTCACACTCCCTCCCACCCATCTCACCTTCCCCCTCTACACTTCCTCACTCTCTCCAACGCTTTAGCTTTTCAGCTTCCCATCAATTCTTCAGAAACCCCTCCCCAAATTATCCCCAAACACTCTCCGTATACCCCCCCACTTCGGCTTCTCGATCCCTCATCAATTCCTCTTATTCCTCCTATCTCTCAATCTTCTCTTCCCTTTGGAACAGGGCACCCCAAATAAATCTCACCCCCTTCAAAAACGTCTCATTCACGGGCCCCTTAACTTCTTCCTTCCGCACCCCACCCTCCTCAGACCCTGTCCTGGCACCTCTACCTTCCTCATACCCTAAGCCCATGTCTTTTCATGTCCAATTCTACCCTTAGCCCCTCTGTTTTCACCTTCCCAGCCTCCCTAGTCCTCCCACCCGTCTTCAGACCCCACAATCTCCATTCCATCCTCACACTTGATTCTTCATCCCCTTTAGAACTCCCCCAACCTGAGGCTCCCCCAATTCCAATCTCCTTCAGATCTTTCTGCTCTCCAAAATAACCAACCCCTCCACACTCGAGCTCCTCCTCACACTTCCCAGACCCAGAAATTCCCTTCCAAGCCTCCTGTGATTCTCCTCCCAGCACCTCCAACCCATGCTCGAACCCTTCAAGCCCGCCTCGGATCCCAGTTCCATTTCAGCCTGCCCAGTCATCTCCTCGGTTTCCCCTAATGGCACGCCCAGACCCTCCAAATCCTTCATCTGGCTTCCCGATTCCTTTTTTTTTTTTTAACTCCCATATTCCCCACCCGGACGCCAATTCTCTTTTCAGATTCCCAATTCCTTCCTCGAGCTCGGTTATTCCTTCTCAGGACTCCAATTCCCTTCCCGGACCCGCCTATTCCTTCTCGGGACTCCCCCGTTGCCATCACAGACGCTCCAGTTACCTTTCAGGACCTCCTACCCCTCCCCAGGCCCCCTTGGAAAAGCCCCTCCAGCCCGTCCGGCCCGCGGGCCGCGCACCTTGCGCTGCTGCTTCTCCCAGGCCGGGTCCAGCAGCAGGTCCCGGTCCCAGTCGTCCTCCTGGGCCATGTAGTCGCCCATGCTGCCCCCACCGCCAGCGCCATTGCCCGCGCTGCTGGGGCCGTACTGGTACGACTGGTTCGCCGCGTGGTAGTCCACCATTCCGCCGCCTCTCGCTCGCCCACCAGCCTGTCCGCTCCCGCCTCAGCTCCCGCCCCTCTGCCCGAGCCGCCGCAGCTGCCGCCGCTTCAGCCGCTTCAGCCCGCCCTCCGCCCGCGCCTGCGCACTGCCCGCCGCGCCTGCGCACAGTGCCGAGGTTGCCGCCCTCCCGCGCGCGCCCGCCTGCCAAACCTGAAAAGGCACCAAGGCCGCGCTTAGGAGCTTGGCGCCTGCGCAGAGTCCCCCTTCCCCGCCACCCGACTCAGCCCGGGTGCGAGCCACGCCCCCTCTCCCGCGAGAACGCGCGCGTCGTTCGCGTGTGGGCGGGGCCAGAGTCTTGAATGATTCATAAAGGCAGGCCCCGCCATCGGACCTGAACTAGCTCAGGCTTGAAATGCACTGCACCGGGTTCCCATTGAGGGACACAAATTCAACAAATATTTATCGAACACCTACTTGTACCAGACTATGTTTTACGCAGGCACTAAAAACAGAAAAAAATCCCGACCTTCATAAAACTACCTTCTAGTGAAGGGAGCCACATGCACACAAATCTATTTTTATTTTTATTATTTTTTGAGACGGAGTCTTGCTCTGTCTCCCAGGCTGGAGTGCAGTGGCGCGATCTCGGCTTACTGCAACCTCCGCCTCCCGGGTTCAAGGAATTCTCCTGCCTCAGCCTCCCGAGTAGCTGGGAACACAGGCATGCTCCACCACGCCCGGCTAATTTTTGTATTTTTTTGGTAGAGACAGGGTTTCACCATGTTGGCCAGGCTGGTCTTGAACTCTTGAGCTCAAGCGATCCTCCGGCCTCAGCCTCCCAAAGTGCTGGAATTACAGGCGTGAGTCACCGCGCACAGCCAACACACAAATTTTTTTTTTTTTTTTTTTGAGACAGAGTTTTGCTCTTGTTGCCCAGGCTGGAGTACAATGGCGCGATCTTGGCTCACTGCAACCTCCATCTCCCAGGTTCAAGCGATTTTCCTGCGTCAGCCTCCGGAGTAGCTGAGATTACAGGCGTGTGCCACCACACCCGGCTAATTTTGTATTTGTAGTCGAGACGGGATTTCTCCATGTAGGTCAGGCTGGTCTTGAACTCCCTACCTCAGGTGATCCCCCCGCCTCGGCCTCCCAAAGTGCTAGGATTACAGGCGTGAGCCACTGCACCTGGCCTCAACACACAAAATTTTAAAAAAATATGTAAACAGGCCAGGAACAGTGGCTCACACCTGTAATCCCAGCACTTTGGGAGGCTGAGATGGGAGGATGGCTTGAGCCCAAGAGTTCAAGGCCAGCCTGGGCAACATAGCAAGAACCTGTCTCTACAAGAAATTTAAAAATTCATTGGGCATGGTTGTGTGCACCTGTAGTCCCAGCTACTCAGGAGGCTGAAGAAGGGAGATCACTTGAGCCCAGGAGTTCCAGTCTGCAGTGAGCTGTGATCACACCAATGCACTCCAGAAGTGAAATCCTGTCTCAAAAATATACATAAAAGTTAAAAATAGGCCGCGCGCGGTGGCTCACACCTGTGAGCCCAGCACTTTGGGAGTCCGAGGGGGGCAGATCACGAGGTCAGGAGATCAAGACCATCCTGGCAAACACGCTGAAACCCTGTCTCTACTAAAAATACAAAAATAAAATTAGCCGGGCGTGGTGGCTGGTGCCTGTAGTCCCAGCTTCTCGGGAGGTTGAGGCAGGAGAATGGCGTGAACCCAGGAGGCGGCGGAGCTTGCAGTGAGCGGAGATCACGCCACTGCACTCCAGCCTGGGCGACAGAGTAAGACTCCATCTCAAAAAAAAAAAAAAGTAAAAAATAGGTAGTATTGTATATTCCAAGGTGATGAGTATTTAAAGAAAACATCAAGCATTGGCTGGAATGCAAATAAAGTACTCGGGTAGGCTTCATGGAGAAGGCAGACATTTGAACAAAGGTGCGACCCGCTGCATCAGGTAGCATCTTAAATTTAAATATTCAACTAGGCACTGGTGGCTTACTCGTGTAATCCCAGCACTTTGGGGAGTCAAGGCTGAAAGAGTGCTCGAGCCCAGGAGTTTGAGGCCAGACGGGGTAACATAACAAGATCCCATATCTACAAAAAAATATTTACATTAAAAATAGCCAGGCGCGGTGGCTCAAGCCTGTAATCCCAGCACTTTGGGAGGCCGAGACGGGCGGATCACGAGGTCAGGAGATCGAGACCATCCTGGCTAACACAGTGAAACCCCATCTCTACTAAAAAATACAAAAAATAGCCGGGCGAAGTGGTGGGCGCCTGTAGTCCCTGCGACTCGGGAGGCTGAGGCAGGAGAATGGCGCAAACCCGGGAGGCGGAGATTGCAGTGAGCTGAGATCCGGCCACTGCACTCCACTCCAGCCTGGGCGACAGCGCGAGACTCTGTCTCAAAAAAAATAAAAATAAAAATAAAAATAAAAAAATAAAAATAAAATAAAAATAAAAATAAATGGCCGGGCGCAGTGGCTCATGCCTGTAATCCCAGCACTTTGGGAGGTCGAGGCAGGCAGATTACAAGGTCAGGAGTTAGAGACCAGCCTGGCCAATATGGTGAAACCCCATCTCTACTAAAAATACAAAAATTAGCCGGGCATGGTGGTGTGCATCTGTTATCTCAGCTACCCAGGAGGCTGAGGTAGGGAGCCTAACTTGGGAGGCAGAGGCTGCAGTGAACTGAGATCGCACCACTGTACTCCAGCCTGGGTGACAGAGCAAGACTCTGTCTTAAAAAAAATTAAAATTAAAATAAAAAAATAGATATCCGGCCAGGCGTGGTGGCTCACACCTGTAATCTTAGCACTTTGGGAGGCCGAAGTGGGAGGATCACCAGAGCTCAGGAGTTCCAGACCAGCCAGGCCAAAAACCCTGTCTCTACTAAAAAATACAAAATTAGCCGGGCTTAGTGGTGCATGCCTGTAATCCCAGCTACTCGGGAGGCTGAGGCAGGAGAATCGCTTGAACCTGGGAGGTGGAGGTTGCGGTGAGCCGAGATCGCACCATTGCACTCCAGCCTGGGCAACAACAGTGAAACTCCGTCTCAAATAATAATAACAATAAATATCCAAAACAGAGTTCCTGATCTTCCCCCCAAGCATGGTCATCCCATTCCACAGTCATCCCTCTTCAATTCGTGCACCTCCAGCCTTGCAGGTGCTGAGGCTACGGTCCCTGCGGTCATCCTTAACGCCTCTTTTTCTTCACAACCCCATCCAGTTCTTCAGGAAATTCTGTCATTCCATCTTGAAAGAATACACAGAACCCACCCACTTCCCCCTGCCCCACTGCACCACCCAGGTTCTTTCTACCCTCGCCTCGCCTTCCCTCTGGCCATTGCAGCAGTTCCCAAACTGTCTCCTAGCTCCCCCTCCCACCCCCTTCTTTTTCCCAGGAGAAGCTGGAGGGAGCCTGTGAATGAATGACTGAGTCAGATCACGTTCCTCTCTCCTCTGTCCAAACCCTCCTGTGGCTCCACGCTCAGGCTAACAGTCAAAGTCAAGGAAAGGAAGAAAGGCTGCAGAGGAGTCTGCCCTGCCCTGCCTTGCCCTACCCAGTCCAGCCCAGTGTTTTTGTCTGTTTTTTTTTTTCTTTTTTGGAGATGGAGTCTCGCCCTGTTACCCAGACCACAGTGTAGTGGCACGATCTCGGCTCACTGCAATCTCCGCCTCCTGGGTTCGAGCGATTCTCCTGTGTCAGCCTCCAGAGTAGCTGGGATTACAGGCATACACCACCATGCCTGACTAATTTTTGTATTTTTAGTAGAGAGGGGTTTTGCCATGTTGGCCAGGCTCGTCTTGAACTCCTGAGCTCAGGTGATCTGCCTGCCTTGGCCTCCCAAAGTGCAGGGATTACATGCATGAGCCACTCTACCTGACCAGCCCAGGGTTTTAGTTTTTTGGTTTTGGAGACAGGGGTCTCAATATTTTGCCTAAGTTGAGCTCAGACTCTTGATTCTCCTGCCTCAGCCTTCTGAGTAGCTGCGACTGTGAACACGTACCATCACATCCAGCTCAGCCAAGTTTTGTTGATATTGTTGTTGGTGCTGCTAGTGGTGGTGGCGTTTGACACAGCAACTTGCTATGTCATCCAGGCTGGAGTACAGTGACATGGTTCCAGTTTACTGCAGCCTCAAATTCCTGGGCCCAAGTGATCCTCCTGCTTTAGCCTCCCAAGTAGCTGGGACTGCAGGTGCACCCCACCACGCCTGGCTAATTTATTTATTTATTTATTTTTTGAGACGGACTCTCGCTCTGTTGCCGAGGCTGGAGTGCAGTGACACAATCTCGGCTCACCGCAAGCCCCACTTCCTGAGTTCATGCCATTCTCCTGCCTCAGCCTCCCAAGTAGCTGGGACTACAGGCATCGGCTACCATTCCCAGCTAATTTTTTGTATTTTTAGTAGAAACGGGTTTCACTGCGTTAGCCAGGATGGTCTTGATCTCCTGACCTCATGGTCCGCCCATCTCGGCCTCTCAAAGTGTTGGGATTACAGGTGTGGTCACCATGCCCGGTCCACGCCTGGCTACTTTCTAAATTTTTTGTAGAGACAAGTGGTGGGGGCGAGGGGAGTAGAGGGCGGGGTCTCGCTAGGTTGCTCAGGCTAGCCTCAAACTCCTGGCCTCAAGTGATCCTCCTACCTCAGGGAATGCTGGGATTACATGCTGGGATTACAAGTGTGAACCACCCAAGCCGTGCCTCAACCTAGTTTTTGAAAGAGTTTAGAGTCAGCTGGCACGGTGGCTCACACCTGTAATCCCGGCACTTTGGGAGGCTGAGGCGGGCAGATCACTTGTCACCAGAAGTTTGAGACAAGCCTGGGCAATATAAGGAAATCCCATCACTACTAAAAATACAAAAATTGGCCAGGCATGGAGGTGCATGCCTATAATCCCAACTACTCAGGTGGCTGAGGCAGGAGAATTGCTTGAACCCAGGAGGTGGAGGTTACAATGAGCTGAGATCATGGCACTGCACTCCAGCCTGGGTGACAGAGCGAGACTGCCTCAAAAAAAAAAAAAAAAAAAAAAAAAAGGCTTAGAGTACCCCCGCCTTGCTGGCCTCCTTGCTGTCCCTCAAGCACACCAGGCGCCAAACTCAACCTCTGATGAGGCCTTTGT